GTCAAAAGAATAGATGACACATGACATCCTCTCATGATTTTGGTTTAGAAAAACCTTAAAATATTATATAAGATATTTGTACAATTAGTTTAGGGGAAAGAGGTAAACCCTATTAACATGAGTTCGATTTCTTCTGGAAACATTTTTATCTTTATTTGGACAGTTGAAATGGTTTCACGCTTCAAGGCCATTAAAATTCGATGAGTAGACTACTCAACGACTACACTCATCATAGTGATTAATCGGGTGGTGAAAACTTTGATCACCTCTCTGGTTATAAATTTTTTTTTATACAATTACTGGTTATAGAATAAAACGTTATACCTAGCTAGAAGTTAAGTTTTGAACAATGAAATTATTTTTGTTTGATTTGTTGAGAATAGAGAACCGTACATTTTAAAATTAAATAAATGATTTTGGTGTTTTTAAAATAAACAACAATTACCATTTGACCATCAACATACAAGTTATCCAATAGCACGCTATTTACGCTATTCCGCAAAATGACACGTTGCCACACTATTTTCTATAATTTTATAAAATCATATAATTTTGAAAAATTTCATAAGTGCTTTTTAGTTAATCTTTACAAAAAATCTCAAATCCCATTACTTATTATTTTGCCACCATCGTCATTTTACAGAATTTTATGTTCAAAATTAAGCTAGCTACTTAGATAACCATTTTTCCCTTCTATTACAAACTTTTTGGATAAACAAAAGTATACAACATACCCCAAAATTACAATCCGTTCGATAATTTGCTCTCTTATTATTATTTTTTGTTAAATTTAAACCACTCTTAAGTCTTAAATTGACATTTCTGTGTGTGTACAATGAAATTATTATTAGCATCTAGAATTTCCGTTGTCTACAGTCTAGTACATATACAATATGCAATATTAATCACATTAGTCTACCAAGAAAAGGCAGATCAATTTAAATGACCAAACTAGTTAGGTGGATTATTAGTTAGATATATAGGTCATATCAATTTGTATGTTTATGCAAGTAATCAAGGAATTCATATTAGATACTAGCATATTATACTGTTAAGTTGCTAGATCGATATATGGAATAATAATAAATAATCAACATCATGTCCAATGTTGGG